GGTCCCGTCGGCGTCCCTGGCCGCGCCCGGCCCCCGGCCCGCTCGCCTGCCGGCACCATGATGGAGGAGATCGACCGGTTCCAGGTGCCCACCGCGCACTCGGAGATGCAGCCGCTGGTGAGGGGGCGGGCGGCGGCAGGCCAGGGCCGGGAGGGGGCGCTGCCTGAGGGGGAGGGAGGAACGCAAACCTTGGGCGACTGTGCGGAGGGAGCGCCTCGTATGGGGTAGAGAGACATGAAAACGCATCGCCGGGGGAGGGGGACTTGCAGGACGAGAAAACCGTGGGAGAATACGTGTGGTGACAGCAAAAGGGCCTGTAAGGGCGGAGAGCACTGTCAGCGGAGGCAGGCCACGGGTGCTACGGGAAGCGCCGTCGGATGGAACCGAGAGGGGCACAATGGTGCACACCGCTAGTGAAGGCCCATAGCGGAGAAAGGAAGGGAACTGTCATGGGGCACCGACGGTGGCAGGCCCGAGGGGCTGGGATGAGAGGTTAGGGAGGCGTTTAGCCCTAGAGGCCTGTGATGCTCAGAGCTGGGGGAGGGGGCCAGAGAGCAGTCAGTCTGAGGGACGGGAATAGGTTTGTAGAGGAGGAGGGGCCTGCCGGCCAGCCAGTTCACTGTCTATGGATGGGAACGTGGGGCCGGGGCACAGGACCGGTGGGGGCAGGGGGTCCACGTAGGACCCCGGAATTCCGTTCTTCTCCTGAGGAGAGAGCAGTCAATCTAGGCGAGGGGTACTGGAGTCGGGAAGGAGAGAGCACGGCTGCGAGATGGAGAATCCGGGGCGCAGATGAGAGAGCTTGGGAACCGGCGGGAGAGGGGGCGGGGCCGCTCTGGGGCCGCCTATGCCCACCTATTCAGAAGAGCCCCCAGCCTCCTAGGCCTGCGTGCTTGGAGTCTTTGCTGGGCGCCCATCCTGCTGCCTGTCCGCGGTCCCGAGTCAGGGAAGAATGATGTCATCGCTGCCGGCGCGGAGGGGATGGAAGGGGGAGGGCGGTGTATGGAGGCCGGCCTAGGGGGGACCTTACCCGCCGGCCACCGCTCCCGGGGGCTACCTGACTGGCTTGGTTCATTCCGCGGGTCGAGAGAGGCCGAGGCCTGGCCAGCTGATATAGGGGGGGGGGGGAAGGGAGGGAGTGCCTCGGCTCTGTTCGCTTTGCTTTTCCTTCTCCTTTCCCACTTGGAGCCCAAGGCGGAGCTGGAAGGAGGCAAGGCAGGCCAGGAACCTAAAGATGTGGGTGCTCTATTCTCTGACTTCAGCTGAGGCTGAGCAGAGTTCACCGAGTTTGAAGATATGGGGCTCCCTGACCCTCTTCCCTCTGTTAGGTGAAGGTGAGGAACAGGTTCCACTCTTGGGACCCCCAGGCCCCTGGCTGACAGATGTGCTTTGTGGCTTTCTGAGCAATCTGTCCATTACAACAGTCGAGACAGACCTTGGCAGGGACCCATGACCTACTCTAAGCCACACCTTTTTGAGGATGGTAGAGAGAATCATTAGAGGGCACCTAGCAGGAGATGAGTGGTCTTTTCCCCATTTTGTGACTATTTAGACAATTCCAGAAGCCCAAACAGAGAAGCTCTACAGAAGTGTCCAATGTTAAACTGGGGAGAGAGATGCTGCTGGACTTTTTTCCTAGTCTGATGCCATCATTGGATTATATGATGGCCAAAAAATCCTGGTGAGGAGTCTGTCTCATGAACTTGAAGAAGAACTTTGGGCTGGGCTAAGAGAACTTTACTTTCTGAATTATCTTTCCAGCCAACCTGGCTTGTCAAACTAGATTGCCCTTCCAGTTCTAAGCATCTAATCAAGAATCAAAAAGGAGGGCAAATGAAAGAGGAGGAGGTCCAAGCAAGCCAGGAGAAGAAAACAATGAGTTGGTTCTTGCCTCCCATCTGGGGTTCCTAAGAAGGGAGGCAGTAGCTGTCCAGGGAGCAGGGGAAGGAAGGGGTCACCAGGCTCTGTCAATTGTCCTTGATGCCTCTGTTATTGCCTGAAGTTTCAATGATGGTTTGAATGAGTAGTGGCCTTAGAAGACTCCTGAGCTGCTTCTGATCTCTGTGGCTCTAGAGTAGAAGTGCTTATGGCAAGGAGGCACTTGTCAGAAAATCTGTGACTGCCTTCAGACCCTTTTTTTGAAGCCTAAAGGAGCCCTTCTCTGCAAGAGGATACTTTGCTGAGGTCAAAAGAGAACCTTATGGAAGTAGCAATATAATCACCCCCCATTTGGGGGTCATAGACATTGCCCTGCAAATCTCTGACCTCTGTACCCAGGTTAAAGTCTAGAGGATCCCCAGAACTCCTTAAATGCTCTTTGTATTATTGAGACCAGCAGAATCTTGTGTGGAGTTTCCCCAAGAGCCTTCATTTGGGGGCATAAAGAATCAAGATGGCGTACTGCAGAAGGGAAGGGCAAAGTGGGTCTTTAACGGTGTTTGAGTAGACCATAAAAACTAGGGTCTCAGACTCAGCTGTGACCTACTTCACTTTTTGCCTTTATTTATTGAGCCCTCTAGGAAATCTCTCTTCTCTGGACTCAGTTTTCCCATTTGTGAAATAAAGACAAACTGTCTCTTTAAAGTTTAAACAGGAAGGAACTAAGGTGGAACTTAGTAGAGTAGAAGGTACCTGTGTAGAAGTGTGGGAGATTCAGAGGGATACATGGATTGGAGCACTCATTTATTAAGTTTCATACTTAGCTCAATGGTAGACTGCATGCTTAACATGCACCTGAATTCAATCCCCAGTACCTCCAGTAAAAACAAAATAAAACAAAAAACCCCAAGATACTTAAAGTTTAAACAATAGCTCCTCACTCTGTCTTCTAAAGAATATCATAGGAACCTGATATCATTGATTCAGCAAATTCATTTACCAACTATTTATTGTGCACCTGCTCTGTTCCAACACTAGGTATTGGGGACACTGTGGTTAGCAACACATACAGCCCTGCCTCCTGGAGCTCACAGCTCAGCAGAAGTTATTGTTCTTGCTCACTCCCTCAGTGTGCACCCCTCTGACTGCAGAGTGGAGGCTGTCTCCTTCAGCCCTAAGGGAAACAAGGCAATGCTGGTGTCAGTATCACTGCCCCTTTCGGGACCTAGCTGTACTGATAGTGACCTGCCATGGGTTCGATCATCAAATAACCCTCCCAACCCGTAGCGGTTAAAAGAATCCAGAGGCATTACTTACTTGAAAAGATGAACTCTAGGTAGAAAAATCTTTTTCTTTTTCTTTTTTTTTTTTTTTTTACTTGAAAGAAAACTGGCACTTGAAAAGGAGGCCTAGGGGAGTGGCAGGAGCTGGGAGAGAAGGCGCTGCCAGCAGATCTGGGTGTTTCCAAGGTGCTAATTTAAGCATTAGTTCTCAGCTAGTGGGAGGAAGAGAAAGAGATTGTTGTTGCTGCTGCTGTTGCCACAGCTGCATGGAGCCTCCTGTCTGGGATGGGAGTTTGTCTGAAGGGAGGGGCCTCCCTTCTTTCCCCATCACACCAATTATTTAATTGGCTTGGCTGCATCTCAGCAGCTGACCCAGGCCTGGGCCTATCCCTGAGAGCTCCCCAGGGTCTTTTCCTGTCTCCTTATGAAAGGAATGAGAGCTCCTCTTAGAGACCTACTCCCAGGGCTTCACTCCTTCTGTGTCTATCTCCTAGACAATCCAGAGTGTTTCTCAGCACAGATTTTCCCAAAGAAAGTGCCAGGAATAGACATACCTTTTATGTCAGTTCTATGTCCAAGCCACACACCTCACTGTGGACACCTCAGCTGTCCAAGGCTCTCTGTTGAGCAACTAGGTTGAATTTGGGCTATTGTTTATGTGAGCAGCGGGGATAGGTTCTCTTGCCCTATTGTCTGTCTGCTGGACTGGTTGGTACAGCCTCACAGTCTGTGTCTTCTCTTCAGCTGCAATTGGAAAGGAAGAGATTTGCAGGGGGGGGGAACCCAAACCAACCAACCAACCAAAAAAAAACACAATAATGCCCCCCCCCAAAACAAATAGAGTTTATAAACACTTAATTGGATCAGGCAAAATCCCTGTGCTCTCAGAGACAAAAAATAATAATAATAATAATAATAATAAAGGGCACGTGGCACCAGACAGGGTCTCTGTATGCTTGAGAGAAAAACTAGTCTGGCCTCCCTGAAACCCACGTTATCTGTTAACTCATTTGTTTAGCTCATGAGCGCTTAGTTCTAGGTACTTTAAGGATAAAGACAAGTGAGATTTCTTCATTGGGTGGCAAGGAGAAGGATGGGCTCAAACAGCTACTGTAAGGTTTTAGATACATGTTAAGAAAGAGCAGAGATTAATGGAGGGTGTTCCTGAGAAAGAGTGACAACTTCCTTGGGAGAAGATGAGGAATGCTGAGGTTCTGACCCTTTGACCACGTGAGCTTGGAAAGGAGTTTCAAACTCCTCCTGCCTCCTGACACTCAGAGATGGGGATGGTCAGGACATTATTTGAGTAAGTGGCCACAGCAGCTCCTGAAAGTGCAGAGGGAACATTGTAAAGCTACCAAGAAGCCACTGTGGAAAACTGACCTACATATATTCTGTGGTCTGGGAGCCTTAAGTTGCTTCCTTGTAATAAGATGATTCTTCATTTTAAACATGGATTCTCCTAGTGATCTAGGTAGCTCATGACCTAGTAGTATTTTTCAGGTTTGGGGAAGAGGCACAGCCTTCTCTCTCTTTGCATATTGTAAAGTGAGGATCATGTCTGCTCAGGCCTTCAGATCCTCCCTTGCTGCTCATCTCCTCAATCAACAAACACTAAGAACCTACTTTCTGCTAAATGTTGTGCTCGGCTCCATAACACAGCCTTTGCTCCAGGGATGGGTATGCACAGTCAAGACAGATTGAGGTATTCAGGGAAATAAGCACTGTAAGAAGAGAGAACCAGGTCTAGAAAGGCCAAAGGAAAACAGGAAGGGCTCTCATCAAGTGATCAGGGAAGGTTTCATGGAGGAGACATTGCTTGAACTGGCTCTTAGAAGAGGACTAGAAGCTTGGCAGATCTCTAAGAGGAGGTGAGGGCAAGAGTTTCAGGCATAGGGCATGGAGAAAGAAATGGAAGGGTGCATTTGAATGAATGAAGGATTTTAGTTAAGGGAA